CCAACTGATTGTATGCAGAGGCTATAGAACTCTCTCGCACCCACACCCACAAATACATGACCAACTGTTTGTATGCAGAGGCTATAGAACTCTCTCGCACTCACACCCACAAATACATGACCAACTGATTGTATGCAGAGGCTATATAACTCTCTCGCACCCACACTCACAAATACATAACTAACTCATAATTCATAATATGCAGAGGCTACGTACCTTGCTTGACGAACTTGCGGAAAACAGACGCTTTACCAGAGACCGGGATCCGAACCGGTTTGGTCTTTTTCCCGGGCAGTTCAATTTCTATAAACAATCCGCCAACCTGTATCGTACAGAAAAACCAAAGTTCATTGATCAGAATATTGCTATGGTATGTGGTGAAGTATTTTTGAATTGACCGCTTTAAGACTGTGCCGTTTGTACATGTGAAGGAAGGTCAGTTTATACTCTAAATCCTAAAACCCAGTATTGGTAACACGCATAATCCTTCATGTTAAGATGAGCCATGAGATCAATTTGATGGGGCGATTGTGAATGAGCAAAATAAACGTATACACATTCCTGGGGGATATAGGACACTCTTGGGCGTTAAGAACGTTCACATTAAACACATACACCTGCGATACAAAGGCACCCGTTGGCTAGGGAAACTTTTGAATTAAACACAAGTTAGAGAATCTTTCACATTAACACACATTAGAGAATCTTTCACATTAAACACACATACCTGCGATACAGAGGCACTCGTTGACTTGGGAATTTTTCACATTAAACACACAATAGAGAACTGTCACATTAAACACACATACCTGCGATACAAAGGCACCCGTTGGCATGGGAATCTTTCATATTAAACTCACATACCTGTGATACAAAGGCACCCGTTGGCTTGGGAATTTTTCACATTAAACACACATACCTGCGATATAGAGGCACTCGTTGACTTGGGAATTTTTCACATTAAACACACATTAGAGAATCTTCACATTAAACACACATTAGAGAATCTTCACATTATACTCACATGCTTGCGATACAAAGGCACCCGTTGGCTTGGGAATGTTTCACATTTAACACACATTAGAGAATGTTTCACATTTAACACACATTAGAGAATGTTTCACATTAAACACACATACCTGCGATACAAAGGCACCCATTGGCTTGGGAATTTTTCACATTTAACACACATTAGAGAATCTGTCACATTAACACACATACCTGCGATACAGACGCACTCGTTGACTTGGGGATCTTTCACATTTAACACACATTAGAGAATCTTTCACATTAAACACACATTAGAGAATCTGTCACACTAACACACATACCTGCGGTACAGACGCACTCGTTGACTTGGGAATCTTTCACTTTAACACACATTAGAGAATCTTTATTATACACACATACCTGCGATACAGACGCACTCGTTGACTTGAGAACTTTTTTCTTCCTCACCTCTCCTGTGACGGACAGCCACTCCAACTCAACCGAACACTGCAACTGCGACATCGCACCAGTCGATAGTAGTCACTACCTGAGGTATCAAAGGAAAGGGCCATGAGCGAAAACAACTGTGGTGTGAACAGACGCGTGTCTCATATGCATACACTCCTGCAATAGCAACTCAGTTGAATAAGAAGAGGGTAGTACGCAGATGAGATACAAACTGGTTAGTAACTCCGGTTACTCCGGTGCGCTCTCACTCGCATATGCTTTTCTCGTCTATGAAAAATTAAGCGTTGATGGCAGACTAATATACTGGCATCAATAGGTTGACAAACGGCTACTTGACAGCGAGAAGCATATCAATGATAAATTATCAAGCAACTTAAAGACACAGCTGCCAGTCTGTCACGTTCAGTAATATATATATATATATATATATATATTTATATATAAGAAAGAAAGAAAGAAAGAAAGAAAGAAAGAAAGAAATAATCATATATATATGGATATATAAAACTATATATATATATATATATATATATATACACGTCAAATAAACACCCACCCACACCCACACCCTCACAGCCCCTCACACACACACACACACACACACACACACACACACACATATATAAATATTTATAAGTGTATGCTATTTGTACAACGCAGAAACGTACACACACGCACACACACACACATTTATATATATACACCTTTTGTATAACGCAGAAACATACACACATATCTATACAAGTATATATGTATATGTTAGTATATATATATATACATAAAAACAGACACATACACAGAAACCGAAATGGAGACACACACACCTATATATATATATGTATAGATATATATATATATATACGCAACAAACACATACATATACACACGCACCCACATACACATATACATACATGTATAAATAAATACATATATTACATATAT